TATATATACATATATCGGCCTATTGACTTATAAATATATAGAATAGAAGAGAAGAAATAAGTCACAGTTATAAAGATACTGTATGTTATATACCAAATGTTACATATGTACGCACACGCACACGCAGTAGTGGAAAGAAACTAAGTACATTTACTCAACTACCGTACTTAAGTCAGTTTTGAGGTATCTGTACTTTACATGAGTATTTTCATTTTGTGCTACTTCATACTTCAACTTCACTATATTTTAGAGGTAAATAATGTACTTTTTAGTTCACTACATTTATTTTATAACTTTAGTTACTAGTTACTTTTCAGAACCAAATTAATACATAAATTGCAGTATATTCACAACACTTCTCCAGTGGAAAATTCACAAGCTACCTAGAAGCTATTCAAATTATAAGCATATAAGCTACTGAAAACTAGTTTCCCCCTTTATCAGCTGCAACATTAAATGTGATATAAACAATAACATGTCAACAATTGTAATCCAATAATATGACATACTTTGTGTGTAAAATGTGCCATTCTGCATAATGAGTACTTTTACTTTTGGAACTTTAAGTATGGTTTGATACTAATACTTTTATACTTTTACTTAAATCACATTTTGAATGCAGGACTTTTAATTGTACATATATATGTATTTATTAAGCAATTAGTGTGTTGTATTATTGTATTGTGGTACACATAATAGTGTAATTATGTATAATAACGATAGCTGTACTTGGAGTGCTTTGCTAAACACAGGGAAAATGTGGATGACTTATTCAGAGAAGCAACAAAACAAACACTAATGGCAACACGATAGAGAGCAGATGTGACTGTGTGCTTTGCTGTGATGCATGCTCACGGCTCTCATTGACTGACAACATATGGCTACAATCATACCACGTCAGCACACACTTCCTGTGTGGTTTTTCTGTTGACTCCACAGCTAAAAATGCATTCTTGTGTGAGATTATGTGCCTTTGTTCTTCACTGTATTGTATACACAAATGTCAGAAATATACAAATAAAAAATAAATATAGCTAACATTCACTAATCATCTAAGATGTGCTTTATTCAAACACCTGGTGAGTCTCACCAGGCTGGGGCTTCTTGAATTGTTAGCATCATGCATAAGCAAAACTCAAAAAGACAGAATTTGCAGAAAATTCTCTTTAAAGCTGTGAATTGACACAATTGACACTCTATATATACAGTAACATATACTACAAAAATAAATAAGGCACAAAAATGAACCAAAAGAAAACATGCCTTTGTTTGCATTGATCTGTTTTTAAAGAAGGCACATGTGGTAATTCCTATGAGAAGAGTCCCAGAGGATGTGCAGTCAACCTGAATAAAGCTGTCTTTATTTAATTACCTATTTAAAAAAGTCTTAAAGAAACACTATAGTGTTTAATGATTTTAGAAAACAGTTGGAGGTACTAGCCCCTTATAGCTCCTTGTTCTCTACTCAGTATCAGAGATATCTTCATTTATTTAGGAGCATTCAAATGCAAACTTTGAGCTTGTGATCTACAGACGTTATTACATTACCATGACTCAGCATAATAAAGAAAGAACTGATGCTGCAATAATGACCACAGCATTACCTTGGTGTAAACACAGTATGCTATAATATTCTGTTAAAAAAATCAGAATCACATGATAAAAATGCACATTGTACTGTGTACCTGTTGACCAAAATCCTAAGAAGTATGTACAGTAGATGTTCTCAAATATTTTTAAGTCTCATGTTGTAACATATTTTTGGATAAATATTATGGGGTATGATATACAGATAAAATCTGTCATGGCACCGTGACATGTGAGAATAAGTAATAAAAAATCCAGAACTATACATTTGCACATTTCCTCATTTGAGCTTTGGTACCAATGTAAAGACAATGAAGACAATGTGACACATGACAAACAGAAAACAGTCCACAATTTTAGAAATTCAACAACCTAAATGCTCAACATGCTCAAGCTTGTAACCTGCAAGTACAAAACACACACAACATTTCCAATTTGTGCATGTTTTGTAATAATACATTCAGCAATACTTATTACCAGTAACAATTTTATAGATGACAGTGTTTGAAATGTAGAGGTAATGTGAAATGGAACAAATATCCCAAATTATTATCTAAGACTGATTTAACAAGAGGACTAGTCCTCTGAAAGAGGAAAAACAAGTTTCAAACACAAACTCCACCAACAACATTCTGACCCTCTGTAACCGAGGAGAACAAAACTATACAGACACCTCTGAATATAATGTAGTCCAGTGCAACAAGTGCTTGCTCAAGGGGGATTTGTTGGGTGTTCCTCTATAATAATAGTGATAATAGTAAAGTCTAGACTTACTGTGTAAAGTGTCCTGAGATGACTTTTGTTGTGATATGGCGCTTGACAAATAAATTTGAATTGAACTGAATTTTTGAACATCACCTTTAACTATGACCTGAATAATAAACATATAATTGAATTCATACATTTATGACAATTTCACCAAAAACTGAAGCATTTTGAGCTTCATAAACACAAATGTTAAGGAGGAAGCGTTGCACTGAAGTGCATACAATTGTACAGGTGTACCCAATAAAGTGGCTGGTGAGTGTATACTTTATAATCAGTAGCTGGCTATTTGCATACTAAAAAGCCAGAAAAAATGGGTATTACTCCACAGCATCCAAGTGCCCTAATGTTACAGTATGATAAGCTATGTCATCATACAAGCCAGTGAAATCTACAGTATATGTAGGTCTACCTTCACGGTAAAGGTAAAACAATTTTCCTCAGACATACTGAGTAAAACTTTGTGAACATGTATTATCCACAAATAGACTGAGTCGAAACCTGCAATACTCACCAGAAGAAGATTGAAATTTTAAAAAACAAGTATCACTATTTATTAACATAAAAAATAAAGCTTTTATATAAGATTTCACAACGAAAGCACCACTGAATGTCCACTGCTCATCAAGGGAAATCAACAGCGGCCTTCAGGTCGTCATTCTCAGCCCTGTGGTCCAGCTGGTTCTGGAGTCGAATGACCTGCTCCAGCTCTCGGTTCTGTCGGTCCGTTTTGTGACTAACGAGTGTGCGGTAAAAGTGGATGGCAAACACAATAAAAACAATTCCAAATGGCACCATGATGCAGGTGGAAGCGATGGCTGCAGCCTCACCAGAACTTATGCTGCCACTGTCTTTTTCAGTGCTTTGAAGGGGTAAGAACTTCACCCAGCACAAGAGCATCACCTCCGTGAGGAAGAGGAGTGTGCCGATGACTGTGGAAAAAGCCCAGGCCAGTTCTATATAGTGGTGCATGCGCTCATGGGGAGACTCGTTGACAGAGTTGAGGTTGTGAACATTGCTGACAGCCTCAAGATTAGGGAGGATGCAGGTGCTGATCATGAGGGCAAAGAGATGAACTGCAACCAGAACTGTGGTACAGGCACTGAAGGCTATCAGCAGCCCAGGAGGATACTGATGTGTTGTTTCCAGATTTACCTCCACCATGGCGACCTGGGAAAATCCAACAGGAAAATATTTGCAACATAGATTAAATATATAGCATTAATAAGATGATATCTAGGGTTGTACTGATCTGATACTATTGGACACCTGTCTCATTTCTGGTCGTGTTAGTTTGCGTAAAAATTATTCTGAGTTCCTCACAGCAAGATGCTGAACTGGAAAAAAATTGGTATTCGATCTTGGCAGATAACTTGAGCTGAGTCGGAATCAGGGGAAAAGTTGGAGTGGTGCATCCTGACAGGTGTCTACATTTAAAACTCAGAGGATTTACTATGTTGATTTTAGATTTACTAAATTTTACCATAAAGGCCCAATGTATTTCTTTTAAATGCTTCATCATATACTAGGTCACTGCATTTCTGTCCTAAAAAAAAGAAAGAAAGTTTTGACATTAAAATTAATTTTGGTTGATATCACTGTTAAAGATTTAGACCAGTTCGTACAAATTCTGTAAAATATGGATCCATAATGGGATCCAAAGCCAACAAAGGGATTTCATTATAGTTGAAAATTGTCTAACAATGGCACTCCGATCCGATCGTTGCCCACCCTCCACCTGTTCAATTCTCCACCATACAGCAAAAACAGCTACTGCATGTAAATAATCTTCTTATGCGTGGTGTTTTGCTCCAGCTCACTTGTCAAAGCTTGTCGTCAAAAATTCATATTTAGGTGCTGGTATAAAAAGATTTAAGGGCCTGTGAGCAGTAATAAGAGTACTGCATTACTATAATCGGTTTATCAGTCACTGCTTACTGTACAGTACACACAGATTTGCACACAACTCTTAAATTCTAAATAAGTGAATGATAAAATAGAGGAATAGGAGGAAATGAGGACTGTGGTCAGCTGGCTAGCGGTCAGATGAAGAGGTGTAGCCTGGGGCATTTTTTTTAGAAAGGACTCAGTCATGTTTAATACTTTACATCTTACTTTTCCTGTAGCTTTTTATCATACTGTATATTATAGCCTCATCATTTATAGGCTGCCCTTGTATTTGCTACAGGGACTGCAGATGACATTTAGTTTTACAAGTAGCTATAATCCTGGGACACTCATGAACTGTACACAGTGAGATAAACCCCAAATAAACTATTAGAACGAATAAATACAATTGTTGGTAGCGTTTTAATGTCACATTCGAGAAAAACTGTACTAACTTGTTTTGTCCTATTTAACAATCGCCTGTAAATTTAGGATGTAGGTTGAAGAACTGCGATCTACTTGTTAGGGCGGAAGATGGCTTGCTTCACACTTGTAGGTGTGAAAGCAAGTCATCTTCAGTTTACTGACAAATGTTGCACTTGGTTCTAACGGACCAAGTGCAACATTTGAACATTTGAACCGTGAAATCTCGTGCAAAGTCACATATGGCTACACCGAGTTACGGGCTCACGCTGCGCTCTCTTTGTTTTCACGGACTGAGTTCATTACACTGTTCTTAAGCATATGAACGATGAATTGTAGTTAATTAGGCCTGTGTGTCAGGACCGCCACAGCCACTGAAAACAATAATCTGCGTCACATCTGCGGTTTCGTGCCCACGGCCTAGCGCACATTCATGCAGTTAATGTTGTGGTGAGTGTTACAAGAACCAGTCCGGTCAAAACGAACTTACCATGGCGAAGCCCGACAACAGGGCTGAAGTGCGACTCGTGGCTTTTAATTTGGCTCGACTCAAGTACAGCTTTCTCCATGACAGAGCCTGCAAGGAGTGCTCGTTCAAGCTCATTCCGAAAGCTCCAAATGCAAAGTTATTATTATTACTATTTTAAAATAAATAAGTATTTATAAACTGGGCGGATTCAATGGGTTGTACAGACGAAAAGCGCACCCAAGAAATTAAGTTCCACTTAAGAATAACATCTAAAAAACACTAGACAGAGGAAGCTGTCATAGTACATCAAAACTTTGGCGCAACAGCTGACTGTCTGTCAGAGTCTATCAGGAAACACAAGATACCCACAATCCAATGCTCTCCACGGGCTGTGAGCCTGCAGCAGTTCGCCTCCTTGTGCCAGAAACAGTTAGACGACGTTGCTCATGACGTCCATCTTCTTTTTCCTTCTCACGAATATAATGTCAACATACACTCAAATTCTGTATTAACACCGATGTCCACACTAACCTACAGTATGTGTTTGTAGTGACTGTGGAGAATGTAGGGTTTTACTACCAGCAGCACTGAATGAATCTGGGGAGATTTCTATCAAACCAAGTCTGTGCAGTCACTAAAACAATGTAGCCAACTGCTGTCTACTGGTGTTTTTTAAACCGCATTTAAACTCTCATAGTTCATAGTCATTATCATTTATTTACACTAGAATAGTGACATCGTCAGTTAATTATTCTTGTTGTCCTATCATTTTCTCTTTTGCATTAACTGGGTGATAAGCTTATTAGGCTACCACCCGTCTTCATATTACAACAGAAAGATGAGAGAGACTTCGAATCATCTGAACGACCTAGACATGGAGACATAGGTCCTTGGGTCACTTGTAGCCTATTAGTGATGAGGTACTGCAGCACTTCCTGTATACTTCACACCAGTGAAAAACAGCTATGGGAGAGGAGGGGAGTAAGTTTAAGTGAGCAACGAGCTTTCTTATTGGAAACAAATGTCAAGGCCTGGGCCACACAATTCCAGTCTTCAGTCACAGTCTTTAACATAATATAGAAAAGCACTGTTTGTGTTTTATGTGTGGTTTTCTCTGCAAACATACTGTAGATTGTATGTACAGTATGTGTGTTCCCCATTACCCACTGAACACATAAGTATATTTTTGTATAGGCTACTTTGGTACATTCCTCACAAATTAATAGTACATTTTTCAATGTACACATAGGGTGAGTTCTAGTAAGATCAGCATGTAGTCATTATGTTTTGACAGCAAATCACTGACAGTCATTTTAAAACTTGAACTTACCCTATATTGTGCCCTTTACAAGGAGTGTTGCTGTAACAACTACAAATAGCAACAGAAAATCACGTTCCATACTAGGTATATGTTGACTATATGAATTCCTAAAATAAATCCTTTAAAGTCTCTTTTATCTTTGTGATTTTTTTTTTACTGCAGCCTGTCAATGCTCATTTTTGATATGACCACAAGATGACGCCAGAGTAAGGCGTTTTCAAACCCTACCATAGTGGCTTCTACACAATCTGGTTTTAAACCACTAAGATTATGTCAGAGCCTGGCCTGCTGTCCTCAGTAAGCAAGTGACACATCCCTTGCTGTGTTGGCTATGTACTCAAGTGCACTGAATCTGACGTGAAGTGATGAAGTTAAAGTGCTGACTCCCACTTTTAGCTTGAGGGTGTTTATCAACATCAGATAAACGGTATAGCAGTACAAGTTATTAAGTAGTGAATCTGATCATGAGATCTGTGACTCACAGGCATCACACACTATGTGATGTATCGATGATACCTGTACTGCAGAGTTCTTTAACTGTTTGTCTCACTTGAAACACCTCCTCAGGTGAAATGAGGTCAGATGACTAAAAAAAGATAAACATTACTAATAACATACGTATTATACGTAATGGTAAGTAAATATATCCAAAGATGTGTCGTGGTAGCATAGCATCATTGGTAACTTACTATGCCCTTGAAAATTAGGATCTTAAATAAATCTAATTAACCTCTGAGTAAAAGGTCACACATGCTACAAAGACCAGCAGAAACAAAAACATTCGCGTGTAGGAGTGAACCTTCTTGTCTTACTTGCTTATCTTCATTTCCTGTCATATCGATGCTGCATTCACGTCGCACGTTCACGGTCATTGAAACGAGGCAAGGTCCACGCGACCTTATGCAGCACCAAACTTTTTCTATTTACCTTATTTTTTATCTTTACTATTTAACGTACGTATGTACATTTACAACACGCGTTTAATTCCTATCATTGCCTTCCTGTTTTTCCGGCGTCTTGTTTTTGGTTACCTGAATGCTGTGGGTGGATTAAGTAAGTAAGACGTTGTAATTTCCAATTGTTTATGAACACAGCACGTTGAGCCAGCATAGCCAGCAGCGGCCCGTGTCAGTGTGTGCTGGGAAGGAGGGGGCAGTGAGCTTAGTTGGAGGCTTGTTCAGCCATGTTGGCTTTCTCAGCTATTCTCCAACGATGAGAGAGCGCAGACATGGCCTTGTCATTGAGTGGAGACGATGAAGATTATGATTCTGAGTCTGAACAGGTCAGAGCTCTTACATTTCATAATGTGACCCCTCTGTGTGCATATGTGTTTTGTCAGTGCCCTGTGTGAAAAGAGCCTTTTGTCAGCTGAATGGCGATTTTCTTCAGTTGTTTCAGATTAAGGTTTTGGTTTTATGCGCTCTTCTTCTCTGCATCTAGTGGAGTTAAAAGGGCAAATATGTCATTTGAACCTGCTTCAGCTAAATGGGATATAAAGACGGGTAGCTAGCTAAACAGTTGTCTTAACGCTAACTAGAGATAGTGAAATGGACCCGGGGTGCTTATCAGAATTGATACCGTAACCGTTCAAACACACCGCGTCCTCTCCTCCCTGGACACCATCTATCATGTTAGCTACAACTGCCCCATTTCATAGTGACCACCTACAGAGCACCTTCACCCTGCACTGTTACAAATTCGTGGCTATGACCCCTCAGTGTCTCCGTCAGCTCAGCTGTGAGACCATCCAACCTTCGTACTGGTGAAAGCTGTGGGTTACTCATGTACACTGTCCCGCCACATTTCCTCATGGTTCTCTTGATCAGTTTCATCATACTTCCTAAACTTGCCCACCTCTCTGTGCCTTTAAGAAAGCTTTAGGCAAAATCAGAGGAGGGGGATGGGGACAAGGAACAATGAAGTGGCTCTGCTTCTGTTGCTCTGTAGTCTATTGATTCCCAAACTGGGGGTCCATTGACCCCCCCATAAACCTGGCAAAATGACGGGTGGTTTGATTTCAAAAGTGTTTTGACCACTTGTTTTCAACCAGGAAGAAGAAAATACAGTGTCACACCTTTCACTCAGCATATTGTCTAATGAGGTTCCTAAGGACAAAGTTGTGATCTGTGTTATCATTGTACATCCACAGCATGAATGCTAACAGTGTTTTTATGAGTGCTGACATGTGAGCTGGCTCCCAGTGTTTATACCCACAACAACCGTTCACAGTTCCTCAGCAGAGATGGGATTTTTACTTCTTTTGTTATGACACGTTGTAGCCGTGTTAAGGACCACTGTACATGAGCCAGCAGGTGATGGGTCTTGTGACTTCCTTCCTTTGAAATCCACCCTGAAGCTGAGTTAGAAGACTGGCTACAGCGACGTTTTTGTTCACAGGTCTGAGCCATCAATTTCAGATTCCTGGCATATTACTGCACAAGGTTAGAGGAAAGATGGGCCAGCTGATAGCTGCTTTGGTGACCACGATCTTAAGAGTGCCCGAGACTGCTTTGGTTTGTCTGTAGCCACGGTTTAATGCTCTTTATTTATTGTAATCAAAGGGGCAAGGTGGAGGTCTGAGATGTTCAGGGAGTTGAAGAAACGGCAATAATTTGTTGTGCGTAGATGCTCTAAATTACTTTTTTTTCGGAGGCTCTGCAAACTTGACTTTAAACACTTGTGACAGACATGGTCAGAAAAATAATGAAGCAGCTGACCTGCTGTAAATAATGTGTGATGTTAACAGTCACAGCCACCCCTGCAGCAGCATCAGCAGCAGACCTTTCTTTCTCCCTCCTACATTTCCACGGTAGTCGGATGGATCTGTGGAAAGATGTCAGATGGATTGAGTGCTACTTTGTCTACATGCTCCATCAGCAACTGCAGACAAGAAACAACCTACTGTGTTTTGAAAAAGACACAATATGTTCAGGACACCATTAATGATCAACCAAGAAGGTGCTTTGTCACGGTCTACAGATTCAGCATTGATTTATCCTTTCTACAACGTATCCCTCAACAAGATTGTTGTGAGACGGGAAAGTCTTGTTCTATTTCCATCTTTTTGTTTAACTTGTTTGGCCTGTCCATACTTCTCTAGCATTTGTTTTCCAGTACACACTGTAACGTGGACACTGTTTTCCCCTCACAAATATGTCACATGAGTTTAATTAACATGTCAAAACAATTTGTTAATCTACAAACTATAGATTAACCATATGTCTCATATCCACTAGTACTTAAAACCCTGTTTGACCTGTGCTTGGTGAAGCTAAAACAGGCAATTGTTAAACCAATTAGAAAATCAGTCAGCAACTATTTAGATAATCAAATAACTAGTAGTACTTGTTTTCATATGTTTCTATTCTCTGAAGCAGTAAAACCTATTTAAACACAACTATAGAGGACATTCTTGGTCTTGAATTTTGTCTGTGGATTTTTAAAAGTTTTCCTGTTTTCTTAATCATAACAAATTGACAGAAACCTACAGATACAGTCTAATGTACATGTGTAGTGTTATGCTTGAAGGTCCTAGTCACAGTGGCCAACATGTTTGTTGTTTCCAGGTACTAAGTTGTCAGCCTCCACTGATAGAATGTCTCCTAATTTCGCCCTCATTGTTTGTCTTCCAGCAGCGGGCGGCCAACCGGCCGAAGCCCAAGGTGGGGACGTCGGCTGCTGTTAAGCTGCCGTCTAATCGCAGCTCGTCCGGAGCCAGAAGGAGGAGGACACGCTGCCGGAAGTGCGAGGCATGCGTCCGGACCGAGTGTGGAGAGTGTCACTTCTGCAAGGACATGAAGAAGTTTGGAGGGCCAGGGCGCATGAAGCAGTCCTGTATTATGAGACAGTGTATCGCGGTGAGTCCATGTAGGAAAACTATAGCGTTTACACAGTATAACGTATCTGGATTAGTATTATAGTAGGATTAGTATTATAGTAGAAAACATTCCCTACATTTTTCATTAAGTCTAAAGAAAACAGTTTTGTAAATTGCAAGCTCATATTAGCTGTTAAACTATGGAAGAGTATTAGGGCTTTAAACTCAGAATTCTGACTTTAATCTCAGAATTCTGAGTTTATTCTCAGAATTCTGAGATTAAAGTCAGAATTAAAAAAAAAAATGTATGCAGTGGCCCTAATACTCTTCCGTATTAAACTAATGCACTTTGGGGGGTTTTCTTCTGAAAAAGGCAGTGTAGCTCATTAAAACATGGTTCATTATGTTAAATGTATTTATTCCTACATTTATATTTTACTGTTGGTCCACGCAGCCTGTCCTGCCCCACACGGCAGTGTGTGTGGTGTGTAAAGAGGCGGGGAAGGAGGACACACTGGAGGACGAGGAGGAGAAGTTCAACTTTATGCTGATGGAGTGCTCTATCTGCAATGAGATTGTCCACCCCAACTGCCTCAAGGTACAGAGAGTTGGGCCTCCATCTCAGCTCAGTTATTCACAGTGACTAATTAGTGTTAAAGCAGTGTCTCACAAGTCCCAACTCATCAAACATAATGTAAGTGACTCAGAAACGGTGTTGTTTACATAACTGCGAACACACTCATTGATCTTTTATGGTTCTGAAATTTCTTGCTCCAGCATGACACTATCATGTTTGAGGACCTGACTCACACTACATGTTTAAGAAAACAAGTGAACAAAGACATTTGCTGAATGACACACACGTTTACTTTGTTGGCTTAAAATGGATGCATGAAAGCAGACAAGTGATGAAGTGCTATAGACATTTCATGTGGTAAAGATGTAATGCAGCACACACCTTGTTTGTAACTGTTATGTAAAAAGCACAACAGGTTTTTGTTAGCACGTGTGGTCAAACCAGTTTTTCACACTTGCACTGTCTAGTTGTTTTGCAGCAAGCAACAATTAAGCACATGTTTTTTCCTGTTTGTTACATAACATTGAAGAATTTTGACAGTGATGCCACTAAGAGGTGCATGTTGACGTTCCTCAAGTAGAAATCTTTAACTCTACTTCCCTGTTCAGTTTGTTGTCGCAAGAGTCTGCTTGTTAACTGTGGCTGAGAACTGTGCTGACCTGCCAAACAGTCATATGTCACAACAGTCACTTTCACTTCCCTCAACTTGTTTGTGTCAAGTAAACTGTACACAGGAGTCATGTTAAAGCTTGCTGCTGCTGTTGTTGAAGTCTGCCTCATTTTCTTGTTATCAGGTGAACGATGCCTCAGGAGTGGTGAATGATGAACTCCCTAACTGCTGGGAATGTCCCAAATGCAACCACGCTGGGAAAAGTGGAAAAGTGAGTATAAATATGTGTGAGTCAGATGTTTTAGTTTAGGTTTCAGCTCACTAAATGTGTGTCAGAAATATTTTCACTCATTAACAAAACATTGCTAAGTTACTACTGCAAGTTTTTGGAGTTTGTCTCAGACATTGTCTTATTTCAGTTCTGTTTTCACTTTATTATGGGTTGATCAGCTTGCCACTTCCTGTTAATACGTCTATAGTCTGTAAAAGTCATACACATGTGACTGTATCTGTCAAAAGCAGGAAACCACCGACATACGTGGTTTTTGTTTTGGTTTATGAAACTTTAAGTACACTTGGTTTTCTTTGTCACTATAGGCTAAAGGTATAAAGTTGTCTTGCAATTTTCCCCCTTTTGGTATTGAAGCAAAAAAGAGGCCCAGGGTTCAAGTACGCCTCCAACCTCCCCGGCTCTCTGTTGAGGGAACAGAAGCCTGTGAGGGAAGACGGGGACGTTTCTTCTGCAGTAAAGAGGAGACCAGACAGAGAGGAGACGCCCAGACACAGACCTGAGGAGTCTCTCCACCGTCAGCCACCGCTGCTCTCCCCCAGCAGCCTGACCCGGCCCAGGCCTGAGGACAAACTGAGGAAGAAGAGGAAGCTGTTTGATGATGATGAGGAAGAGGAGCTCATCGTGAAGAAAAAGGTTTGTATCATTCACAGAGTGACTGGTTTTTCTAAAGAAATTTTAATTACAGATGTCTGGGGGTAATTACACTTTTGCTAAACCAAAGTGACTAATGTTCATCTATTTTTATTTTTTTTTTGTCAGGAAAAGTCAGATGATCTGTATTTTTCCAAACTTCTGCACCAAGATGAGGATGAAGATGCATATGAGGAGGAGGATGAAGAAGGAAGGCAGCCTCACTTCCGGAGTGGTGTAGAGAGGAAAGGACGTTTTGGAGACACTGAAGAAGAAGGAGATGACAGGGACTCCAAGAATGAACTTTTGAGTCCCTGCATTAAGACACCGGCTGGAGAGAGTGACCAGTCTCACTGCAGCTCTCCACAGGCCGGACCCAGTAGCGAGGGCGGAAGCGAGACCCAGGAAAAAGGGCCACGCCCAAAAGCTCGGCGCAAGCGACGTTTACCTAATAGAGAGCTGAGCCGAGAGTTAAGCAAAGCACTGAACCAGGAAATCCAGAAGACAGAGGATTGCCTGGCTAACGAGAACCGCCAACCGCTCAAGGTGGAGCCAGAGACGGAAAACGAAGAACCCAAGAGGTTGTTCCACAACGGCAGTGAAGTTGGGGATCAGAGACCCCACCTCAAATCCAAAGAGATGAACGGGACACCCTGGGAGCTGCGCCACTTCTACCTGAGTCAGATCACCCCTTTGGGCTTCAACAGGAGCACCCCAACCAACCGACCGGTGCCCCCACACTCCCCACCTAAGTGTGTCCAAATGGAGCGACATGTCATTCGGCCCCCTCCGATAAGCCCACCTCCTGACAGACTGCCCCTAAAAGATGGCAAAACACATGTCATACAGCGTGAGGTCTGGATGAAGATCTTCTCTTACCTCACACACCAGGAACTGTGTGTTTGCATGAGAGTTTGCAAGACGTGGAACAGATGGTAAATGTATAGCACGCACTTAAAAGTAGGTTTACATTTTTATTTTCAATATCATGAGCACTGCAAAAGAAAAACTCCGGTATTGCTGCACAGAAGTTTGTATCTTTTAAGCTTAAAGGAGCAATTGAAGCTTGTATTTTGGGTGCTCTGCTTTAACAGTATAACATACGTCTTTATGTCTGATGTCTAGGTGTTGCGATAAGAGACTTTGGACAAAGATTGATCTAAACCGCTGCACTTCCATCACTCCACTCATGCTGAGTGGTATTATCCGCCGACAGCCTGTGTCCCTGGACCTCAGCTGGACCAACATTTCCAAGAAACAATTAAGCTGGCTTATTAATAGATTGCCAGGTACCCATTGTAGAGTGATTTTTGATATGTTGAAAAGGGAATTTTTTGTTTGTTTGTCTGTTGCACATGTTCTGACACCATTAATGATCAACCAAGAAGGCGCTTTGTCACGGTCTACAGATTCAGCATACATGAGGATTTTAAAGTGCTGCTGCTGTGTCTTTCAGGCCTGCGAGTGTTGAAGTTATCAGGGTGTTCTTGGGCTGCTGTGTCTGCACTCTGCACCACCAGCTGCCCTCTGCTGCGCACCCTGGATGTCCAGTGGGTGGAGGGACTCAAAGACGCACAGATGAGGGACCTCCTCTCACCCCCCACAGACAACAGACCAGGTAACTTAGTGGGTCAGTAATGCACAGGATGGGGGTTTTATTCCTGTTTCCAGTGTCAGAATGTATGAATGCATTGCGGTGCCTAGTGTTTTAAACAAATTGTAACTTTAACAGGTACTGAAGGGTTAAAATTCTTAGTGATGAGTTCCCTGACTTTAAACTATGTTGATGGGGAAAAAACTCGAGCGGAGTTTCTTGTAGGTGAAGGATCCGTCATAGTGGTTGACACTGTACATGTTATACTCCAAATTATTGCTTCTTTTCTGTAAGCCAGAGATGATTTTTTTTCTTTTCTGAAAGACTCATATCCACTTTTTTTTCTGCTTTAGGTTTAGGTCTTAGGACTAAAAATAAAGTTTATCTAAGTTAGAGCATAATGTGAGGGACTCCTTACTTGTAGCTTTTGGACATCCTACATCTCCTTGTAGACTAAAATGCATCTGTTGACATAATATAGGAATTGGTTGGTGATGTTCTTTATGTGACCGACTGATAGGCCAGCTGGATAACCGCTGCAAGTTGCGGAATGTGGAGGACCTGCGGCTAGCGGGGCTGGACATCACCGATGTGTCTTTGCGCCTCATCACTCGGCAGATGCCTTTGTTGTCCAGACTGGACCTAAGCTACTGCAACCACATCAACGACCAGTCAGTCAACCTGTTGACAGCAGCAGGGACCACAACCAGAGACTCCCTCACAGAAATCAACCTGTCAGGTGAGAGCTGGGACCTGAGGAAGTGCAGCACAGGAGTACACAGGCACCACTGCAGTGGTTCCTAGGCTGTGAAAGGGGGATGACAGTAATAAGATAGGTGTCTCTATATTATTGTCGTCCACACCTACATACATGGGAGGGTCAAAACATTAGGAACACCTCAATATAATGTAGTCCAGTACAACACCGAATTGAATTTATACGCTTATGACAATTTTGCCAAAACGAACATTTTTAGCTTCATAACCACAGATGCTAAGATGGAAGTGTTGCATTGAAGTGTGCACAATTGTACAGGTGTACCTAATAAAGTGGCTGGTGAGTGTATGAAAGTGTAACTGCCTGCCATGTAAATGAAAGAAATCTGTCTGGGAAAACAGGATTGTGTAAGTGTTGTGTGTTTGCTAGATAATTTGCATTTATTTTGTTTACATAATCTCCGTACACTTTGAGATCTTGCACTTTTCTTGACAGTATGCATCAAGAAAAGAGCAAATCAAAAGATTCTCTAAATTTTTTATACATATCTCTTTTAAATATTAAGCTTGTGAATGATTATTGTGCTCTGCTTCCCTGTAGTTTGTAACAGAGTCACAGATCGTTCCCTGAACTTTTTCAAGCGCTGTGGAAGCATCTGTCAGATTGACCTTCGCTTCTGCAAGCAGGTGACGAGGACAGCGTGTGAAAGGTTCATCGCGGAGATGTCTGTGAGTGTACCGTTCAGACTGAAAGAAGACAAACTGCTACAGAAGACGAGCTAGTTGCTAACAGAACAAATGATTGAAAGACTGTTTTTGCACTTAATGGAGCAAGTATTTCCCTTTTAAAACTGTTCTCTCTGATAAATATCTGAATCTGTGTCACCACAAACAAACTGAAATGAGGGACAGAGTTCTGGATGGAGACCTTAGATGCGCTGATGTAGGCAGATGATAAACATTCACCGGGCAGATAAAGAGAAAGCATGCATGTATTTGTGTTGAGGTTACACTTTTATAAAGATGTGCTTGTAATTGACGTTGGGTTATTTTTATTCTTTAATTATTTGAAAACTATTTTTATATGAACGCCATTTCACAAGTTTAGTGTCTCAGGAGTTAAATATCAGAGAGACTGAACAGTATGTGAGCTGCAAATTGAATCCTTCCTCATATAACAGTCTCTTATGTGCCAAAATTTGTATTTGACATTAGTGTAACTTCAGTGCAGACAAAAAAAAACAAAACAAAGCATGTACAGTAATAAGTGTGGCTAAACTGTCATAACCTCTACCCAAATATTTAGAATGTATTGCTGTTACACCCTCACATCTTTAGTTACCTTTTTAATGACCTATTCAGTGTTGTTTGATGGGATTTTCATCAACATTTCAATATTAATTTATTGATTTTTAAATGCAGTTTGTATTTATTCAGTAACTTGACATAGGTGACTCAAAGACCTGGGTTAAATAATGCTTGCAAATAATTTACTGGGGTATGACTGAACAGCCAAAGGGCAGTAGCAGGAAGTGACATCTTACCTGTCTGACTTTCTATAATGCAGTCTTCCCCTCACATGGTTTTCTATACTGGTTTATAAAACAGTAGGTGTTGTGTGTTTCGGGTGTTTTTTTGTTGTTGTTGTTTTTTGTTAATTCTTATCACCTCAGGTGAATGTGATCATGTTTATAAATCCAAAAACAAAGTGCTAATATGCATTAAAAGATTTTCACTTGTACCATCATTGAGTCTTTAGTTTTCCTTTTCATAATCTGATGGAACTGAAAGATTTTGGGATGATTTGGTCTCTGCTGTAAAGATCGTATGCAGCAGTAGCTAAAATACACCATAGTCATCAGCGTTTGTGTGTGCATGTACAGTATAGCCTATGCATAACTGGGGCTCAGGAGGTTACGCGGTTGTCCCCCCCTCCGGAAGGTCGACGGTTCGACTCCAATTCTCACATCTCGCCAGGTTTCAACTAGCAAATGTTTGCTTTTGCCTTAAAACTACTCTACTGTAAAATATTGATACATTTGTTTACCAACTAATCAACTGATCATTTTAGAATATTTCATTACTTTATACAGGGATACACTGTACAAAACAAACTTTAATAAAATCTTTAATTACCAAAATAAAAAGTTCAACATTGCCAAATACAAAGACCAAACTTTGCACACAATTACACCTTCTCTAAAGGAAAAGTGCAATCTGCTCTGCTACCATTCATGATTGTAGGAGACATCTGCCTGGAATAGCAGCGATGTTGACTTCCTGTGGGTACAATACAGAGCTGGGTCATTCTAAATGAGCAGGGGGGAAGAAAACAAGGAAAATGAGATTTCTAGGTGTAGGAGATTGAGGATACAATATGACCAGTGTCATACGGCTCCTTGTCACGTTCTGGTTCAAGAGGGACAGATAATTCAAGCAGTTCTAGGCAGATTAAACACACTTCAAGCCACTTGACAGGAAAACATAACTGTGTAATAAATTAACCCAATCCCAGGGCCATTTCAATAATCTGACTATTACATGATTTCAATGGGAAAAAGGGAAAAAAAAACAAACATTTGGTTCAATATATGCAAATGTACAATAGCAAGTTATTATTTCTATACTTTCTATACCACAGCTGTCAGTAAACCTCTAGCTCTATCTTTGAATAGTTAGTTCATAAATTAGTTCTACATAATAGAATCAACCGAAAAGCATTAAGACATTTCAGTTCACTCAATATATGACAACAAAAACATTCATTGTTTCACATCCACAGTTCGGCTGGAAAACAAGGAAATTGGTTGAGTTAGCACCGGTGTTTGTCTTGAGTCTCCACCGACTGAGAGGTGACAGTGGAGGTTAGCTATTGTTGTAATGACAGACTTTGTATAATCATGTTAACATGTAATGCATTGCAGTAAATGCTTTCATAACAAAATAAGTGAATCTAATTAAATTAACAGTGCATCTGCTTCATCTTCAATCACCAATATGAATCACCATCCTTGAATTGTTCAGCAGCTGCACATTTGTGTTACTGAGGTACGCTAAATTGAACTTGAAAATATAAGTGCAGCGATTTCTAATTGGCTTTTCCCACTCGCCTAAAACTAAATCAATGGCCTACAAAACTCCCATCAGTCAAGATTAACCAAGACTTTAATAACTAGAATGCATGCTACCTCAGCCACTATTACTGGTAACAGTTTGCGAGCAGTGGCGCATTAACACACAGTGTGAACAAAGGGCTTTCTGGTATAACATGCTTCAACAGCCACAGTGGTCCACCAGCTGCGGGGGAAAAGTTAGGTGAGAAGCGTTAAGGACACAAGCCACCATTTGGCACCTAGGTCACCCACTCCACACCCCCAATATGGTGAGGTTCAGCATGTGTCTGTCATCTGTGTTACTAAGATAAGTAATCACTTGCAGCAGTTATAAAGAGAGGTGCTCTAAAGAATACTCAGCAGAGCCGAGTGCCAGCTACAGCTTATAGGCAGATCTGAATGTGATGAAATGTGTTTAACAAAACCACACGTGGCCGAGTGCCACACATTCGCTGTGTTAAAAAATTATAAGAAAAGCAAAACTCACACTTAGGAATGAGCACACATTAGAGATATGTTACTTGAGGAATGACGCAGTCATAAGAGAGTACAATCATATCCTCTGCCCACCGATGAAACCAAAGGGTTAAATTCATAAGAAAAACGGCATTTCTCATAATATTTCACTGTGCAAATAATGTGAGGTTTAGGGAGTACAAACATGGAACATCCACAAAATAAGTCTTTTGGGGATTCAAGGTTTATGAGCTGCATGATTGAGTTAAGGTACAGTCTTCAGTTTGAGCTGCTCCTCTGAAGCTGTAGTGTTACAGCGGTGCATTAGGACTTGAAGACGTGCACAGCCCTCACCACGTACTGCCTGCAGATTGGGCACTCGTTCATCCTCTTGCCGCACTTGGTGCAGGTGACCATGTGACCGCATTCCAGGAGAACGCAATCGATCATGGCGTCCATGCAGATCCTACAGAGGTTGTCATCATGGATCGTCATCGGGCCCTTCTCACCGTCTGCCAGAGAAATGCAAACAGACAGACGAGTGTCTGGGTATGTTAAGAAACTGCTTTAAACGTAATATCAAAAACAGGAGTGATATTCCATGCACTGAGGAGGGACACAGGTGCAGCAAAACACTCTGCAGCTTAATAAAACACCTCCTTGTAACCAGTGTGCCTTATCTTGTTAAGGTCAAGCTCACAATCTCCTGAAAAATGCCAAAAGCCTGCTATGGCTATGTGTCATGATGTTTCCATGACAACTATGCAGACTTTATCACTGGAAACATGCTGGTAAGAGAGTGAACATACACGGCTAACACACTACAGTCTGAGTATAATTAGCTTCACACGCTGAACACATGAACAGATGACAAAGGGAGAATGATCTTATGGTGGAACAGTGTTCCTAGAGCATGACAAATGTAACTGAAATAGTACTAAAAATGCATGTTCTTAAGTGGGATAAACAAACATCCGTTTTAACTAACAGCCAGTGAGCCTCTCAGTAAATGCCATTCCACAGGAAAGTCACATAGGGGGCAAAAGAAAACAGACGGATAATGACAGAACAGATTTCCGATGGATGCAGATGTGATACTGTTTGTACAATGGCGAGGCGAATCACAGGTGGGATGTGTGACCACATCAAACCTTACCTCCAATGGCACCATTGCAGACAGGAGGGGGGAAGGCCACCACTTTAGTGTGGGCGGAACAAAGCAAGCAGGAGACATTTCAGAAAGATTCTAAATGACTAAGCTCATTTAAAAGAGTTTGCCCATGTTGAAAAGTGATCAGTGTAAATATGGCAAATAATTATTATTACCACAATAAATCGCATCATCAAAGGAAGCAGAGGCATTAGGTTGCTATGGTTAAAAACAGGATGCGGAATCCGACACCAACACGTAGAACAGAGCAAACAGATGGGTATCATCTTACCTGTGGTTACACTACTGCTCACATTTTCCACTGCAAGACAGAAACCAGAATCAATCAGTGAGTGCACAGTAAGTACAGGGGAGGACAAGCTATATCAACATATACAGTACACTATAGTTGAGTTCATACTCAATAATAAACACTATTGACTAATAATATGAAAACTACAAACAGATAATCTCTAAGCACAGTATTTACAGTGGGTACGGAAAGTATTCAGACCCCCTTAAATTTTTCACTCTTTGTTATATTGCAGCCATATGCTAAAATCATTTAAGTTCATTTTTTCCTCAATGTACACACAGCACCCCATATTGACAGAAAAACACAGAATTTTTGACATTTTTGCAGATTTATTAAAAAAGAAAAACTGAAATATCACATGGTCATAAGTATTCAGACCCTTTGCTGTGACACTCATATATTTAACTTAGGTACTGTCCATTTCTTCTGATCATCCCTGAGATGGTTCTACACCTTCATTTGAGTCCAACTGTGTTTGATTATACTGATTGGATGTGATTAGGAAAGCCACACACCTGTCTAAGACCCTACAGCTCACAGTGCATGTCAGAGCAAATGAGAATCATGAGGTCAAAGGAACTGCCTGAAGAGCTCACAGACAGAATTGTGGCAAGGCACAGATCTGGCCAAGGTTACAAAAAAAAATTTCTGCTGCACTTAAGGTTCCTAAGAGCACAGTGGCCTCCATAATCCTTAAATGGAAGACGTTTGGGACGACCAGAACCCTTCCTAGAGCTGGCCGTCCGGCCAAACTGAGCTATCAGGGGAGAAGAGCCTTGGTGAGAGAGGTACAGAAGAACCCAAAGATGACTGTGGCTGAGCTCCAGAGATGCAGTCGGGAGATGGGAGAAAGTTGTAAAAAGTCAACCATCACTGCAGCCCTCCACCAGTCGGGGCTTTAGGGCAGAGTGCCCCGACGGAAGCCTCTCCTCAGTGCAAGACACATGAAAGCCTGCATGGAGTTTGCTAAAAAACACCTGAAGGACTCCAAGATGGTGAGAAATAAGATTCTCTGGTCTGATGAGACCAAGATAGAACTTTTTGGCCTTAATTCTAAGCGGTATGTGTGGAGAAAACCAGGCACTGCTCATCACCTGTCCAATACAGTCCCAACAGTGAAGCATGGTGGTGGCAGCATCATGCTATGGGGGTGTTTTTCAGCTGCAGGGACAGGACGACTGGTTGCAATCGAGGGAAGGATGAATGCGGCCAAGTACAGGGATATCCTGGACGAAAACCTTCTCCAGAGTGCTCAGGACCTCAGACTGGGCCGAAGGTTCACCTTCAAACAAGACAATGACCCTAAGCACACAGCTAAAATAACGAAGGAGTGGCTTCACAACAACTCCGTGACTGTTCTTGAATGGCCCAGCCAGAGCCCTGACTTAAACCCAATTGAGCATCTCTGGAGAGACCTGAAAATGGCTGTCCACCAACGTTTACCATCCAACCTGACAGAACTGGAGAGGATCTGCAAGGAGGAATGGCAGAGGATCCCCAAATGCAGGTGTGAAAAACTTGTTGCATCATTCCCAAAAAGACTCATGGCTGTATTAGCTCAAAAGGGTGCTTCTACTAAATACTGAGCAAAGGGTCTGCATACTTATGACCATGTGATATGTCAGTTTTTCTTTTTTAATAAATCTGCAAAAATGTCAAACATTCTGTGTTTTTCTGTCAATATGGGGTGCTGTGTGTACATTAATGAGGAAAAAAATGAGGTTAAATGATTTTAGCATATGGCTGCAATATAACAGAGTGAAAAATTTAAGGGGGTCTGAATACTTTCCGTACCCACTGTATTCTAAGTGACAAACCCACATGATTTCCGGTTCTCTTCAGTCTCTCTGTACAGTCTGTTGACACGCTCCACCAGCTCCCACTTCTCACAGCACCCTGAATAGTTGACAAAGTTCCTGGCTAGGATCTCCTTCAACTGCCTGACAGACAGACCCTCGATGTCCCTCAAGCTGGAGAGGTCTGACAGAGATGCTCTAGCCCGACGTCGCGTCAGAGGGCTCACCTAATGGATTGGAAACAGCAGTAAATTACATCTATTTAAAAAAAAAAGGTAAATTATACTCTAATTTTTTTCTGTATTGAACTTATTTTTATGGCTTTATCCTCCCTGCAGGGTGCATAGGAAAGCTGCCTCCATCCTCATGGACCCCAGCATCACTGTTTGTATCCCTACCCTCCGATCGGAGGCTCAGAAGTGTGAAATGCTGGAAAAACTCTTTCCGACTGCCATCAGACTGCTAAACAGCTGACTCAGGATCTACCTCATGTAATTCCATCTGTACCGTTTACATGCTCATTTTGCACATGCATAATTGCATTATATTGTATTTTTATTTGCTTCCTTCGCCTGCTGCTTTAAAGTGCCTTAGATTTGTGTTACTGCCTATTTATTAAGCTGGTTTTGAAGTCAGATCAGTGAATTGTAAACACTCTTCAGACTTTCTCAGCTGAATCAGAGACAGCAAGAGAGGGAAAGAAAGTGAAAGAGTTGTGGGATTAACCCGTACACTACAGCAGAGTGCATAATTGCACACCCTCTGCATTATATTATGTTCCTGTTGTATTTGTATTGCTTCTTTCACCTGCTGCTTTAAAGTGCCTTAGATTTGTGTTACTGCTCATCTACTTTATATTTCACTTGTATTGTGTGTCATTCATGTGGACGGCAAAGTAAGAATTTCACTGTACAGGGAAACGCGTTTCCTAACTCTGCATATAACAAATAAACGCTTTGACCTTTGACCTTGACCTGCTCATCATTTATTGGTCTTATTTATTACCATTTATTTTGTGCAAAAAGCCCTTTTTGACTTTATTAATTTCAAAGTCTGGAGTCACGGTTAGTAAAAACTGTGTGGAATAGAATGCCCGGCCAATAAACTGTGTTTCATTGGTCTTTACTTTAGAGCCAACCCATAAATGTTAAGAATGTTATAATTACTTTCCTTGCATGCCAAAAACACAAAATTAAATATAATGCCGTCACCATGCATTTCTATTTATACCCGACTCAATATTCAGCAACAGCACTGAAATGCATTTGTCGATACTTCACGTGAATGATTTCATAATGACAGCAGGAAATTTGATCAGTGACAGATCACCTCAGGCGTGTGTTCACTGGGGTCCAAGTTAAGGAGAGACACCGATGTGGCATCACCTATATCCTGCAACACAACAGACACAACAGTGTGCACTAAATGCAAGGAACGAGCCAGTTAACTGAGGATTATGATTGGACAACTCTTCAGTCTGCCCAGTGATACCTCATAGCATCCATTCACAGAAAGGCTTACTGCTCCCTAAGCAGGCCAAGTACAAGTGTGTATAGTGGATCCTGTCTGCTGAGCTCCCTTGTCAGTGTCAGTTGTGGCTTTTCTCCTTTATTTTTTTTTTTGCCTCTTTGCTTTCAGGAATCAAGATCAGTTTCATTTTAGTTGGTTTACTGTAGTAAAGCTAGGATAAACAATGAACCTCACTTCAACACTCTGTTTCCATATTTGTCTATGGTGATATGTCAAGTAGTTCCCATGTGACAGCTCAAGAGGCTCCCTGAAGTAATGACATAATGTACGATCGGCACAAATAACGTAAAGATGTGTGGAAAAACACAAGACTCCTCAGAAACAGTGCCTTTATGCCTGCAAACTACCATTATTGAAGATCCTAATGTTCACCTGCCACATTAATTATTTTATCTGCTAAATATACTTTAATAAGGCTTAAGGATACCAGTTATGCTTTTTGGGTCTCAGCAGATTATCTGTGGTGTTTTTGAACATCCTACATGTTTTCAAGCTGATCCTGACCTGGTTGGTATCAGAGCTATCACTCCTGCTGAGAGGTTCCTCCTGAGAGGCGACAAAAGCAGACAACTCGGTGGCAGACTGCATGGTAGAGGGGGTCGGCGTATACATGGAAGGCAAGTGGAGACTGCCTGTGTCGGGATCATCCTCTTCCTCTATGCCTTGGTGACACAGCACCAAGTCTACCAGGTCTTCCTTTTCCCTGCAGGTGTCTGTAGGGATGTTACGAAGCAGCAGGTACTGACGCAGGTCTTTTACTCTTAGACGCATGAGCCGTGGCCGCTGAAAGGCTGTCGCTTTCAGCAAATGACATGTAGCACAAATGCGCAGATTCTCTTGAAGCACGCAGCACATTGAGCAGAAGCCCTTCTTGCAGTCGCAGCAAATATACTAGAGAGGAAATAGCATGGGGGAAAAAACAAGATGATGGAAATGATGCAATTAGTGACTTAAACACACCCTTCAACTATGTTACTGCCAAAAGCTCTGCATATTAAAATGATGCACTAGATATAAAATTGTGCCCAAATATCCCTATTTTAAATCAAGTGTAACATCATATAAAAAACAGTGGAGAACTGATCACTGAAAAGCATATCAATGCCAGTGGACATTTCTTGCATCTTTCAATCTCTCAGGCCATGAAACACGAGGCAGCTCATTTCTTCTAAGTGACAAACATCAAACAGTAATAAATGCAAGACGTGGGATTAGACTGGCATTATGAGTGACTGAAGCACAAGGTTCAAGCACAACTTGTGAACCATATTTGAACAACAGTGAAGACAGCACAAGACCAATACATCGTCCATTTGTCTCTGCAATCGTCTATAAGGGAACTGCATTTTTAATAATAAGTAGTAGCCTCTGAGTGTAAATTAAATTAACTTTAGTTCACCCCCTCCTCCCACATATTGTTTCAGTTCTTAATAACACAGTGTCCAATTATGCTCTGCTATACATCTTAAAAGATTCAAGGACAATCTTTTAACACAATTATGGGTTAAAGGCACATAATTTGATTAATTTCACTGTTAGTTTTAAGTCCACTGATCAGACAGCATTAAACATAGGAAGACCACAGGCACTGCATCTCCCTACCAAAACCAGATTACTCTGTTTTCCACAAGCCAAGTACAAAAGGTAATTAGCACTTCTGTCTAAAATATTCATTTAATATTTGCCTCTGCTTCCTCACATGAACCTGTTTCTTCTCATGGCAGACTGGTTACATGTGCTAGCATTACGCAGAGTATCCAGATACTTACTTTCTTCCTGAAGACTGAGAAGGCCTGGCCACATGATTTGCATAAAAGACTGGGACTCCCTGAGCTGGTGGGCGGATAGGTGGAGTATCCCGCACTGGGGGCAAATCTGAAGGGACCAGCTCCGGCCCCAAACCCTGGTTGCTGGCCTCTGACAGCCCCAGTACCCATGACTTCATTCAGTAGACCACAACATGAAGCCCACACGGACGAGGCCCCTGCCTGACAGTCACAGAACACCTTCATTTCAGTTTTTCTTATTAATCTTATTGATGTTGTACATACTGACGACACACTCAACACGAAAGTATAATCTATGAACTAGTCACCACAGACACAAGTTCCACACTTTGCGTAGAGGCAACATATGGCCGCTAATTATAATAGATAAGATACAGTGCTAGTTTAACGCATTAAAGCAAAGCGTGCAGACAAGGAGAACAAACGAACACATCCATAACACAAACCATTAAGCTAACTAACAAATATTTTAACAGTCCGATAATGCCAACCTTGCAAGAAAGAAGAAAAATAATTAAACAAACCTTAAACAACAACAAACACAATAAATAAATTTAGCCAAGACATTCCATGCTTGACATTAATCTCAAGTCAATGTTTACTGACAGCTGTCAGAGTTGGTGTGTAACGTTATCCGACTGTTTCGATAACAGCTAGTACGGGCTACTGTGGCTAACATAACACATATATTCTTGCGTTAGCTTACTGTTGCCGTTAGCAACAGCCTAAAAATTTGAAACAGAGGTTATGTAAAGAAAAATGCACCTTCATTGTAGCTCCGGCGTGTCTACCGTGAATGAACAGGTTGACGGCCTAACCATGGCAATAACGACTGTCACTTATTTGACTAAACTACCTGAATTCGTTTCGATCGAATGAAAGCAACAACCAAGCCCCGACAAATGCTAGTGCTGTTACTGCTTCTTCTTCGTCCTCTTCTTTTCTTCTTCTCTGAGACAGCAGTAGTATGCACGGAGCGTAGTGCTATTGCTGCCCCCTTCAGGTCAATCGTAAAATTGACCGTACTCCACTTCCCAGGAAAATTTTATCCAGGACGTTGAAATATTTATACTAGAACTGTCCTGTATTAGTTAAAAATTGCTGGATAATTTTTGATTTCAGTAAAGTACAGTATTTTTGAGCCAGCAAAACAAATATTCACAATTTCCCCACCTATTCAGCAGGGAAAGGCTTTGAAACAATAACATTTAGGTCAGGAAATAAAACATGCAGAAATATGCACTCACTCACTTGGCCATTTTAGGTAAACCTATCTTAAAGGCAGTCTAATCCAACAGTCCCGGAATAACACCTCCTGCCATGAAGGTGATAATGTGCAGATTGTGTTGAAACCTTTTCAGAGGAGTATTGATTGGAGGCTGTAATTTGTACTGTTGTGGAGATGTACTGCATTTGTACAGAGGTGTTTTAATCATGTAGCCTAGTCTCATAGATATAAATGTGATGGGAAGAATAATATAAACACCTGTCAGTTTGTGTCCATTGCATTAATATTTACTTCTGAAACTAAATAAAGTTACTGTCAAAAGGGAAGCTTCTGTTGGCATCATCCTGGTATTTTACCCAATGAAAAATTGTATATGAGGAGTGGGGTAGACTTTCATGATACACTAAACAATGACAAACTTCTTTCAGGTTTGGACTGATGATCATCACAGAAAGGCATTTTTGGATCACAGTTAATCTATTAATTAAGAAAATAACTGGCATATTAATTGATAATGATCACAATTAGTTGCTGCCCCATAACAGAGTTAGGCTCAAACATACACCCTCTAACCCTTAACACCCACCTAACACCCTCTAGTGCACACACCTGTAAAATCATGAGCAACAATCATCAGTCAAACCACTTAGGTCATATTTATATAGGCTGGTTTTATTTTGAATAAACCTACAATTTGTGGGTAAAAATCTTAATTCATAAAAATTGTATTTGAAATAAATGTGTAGTGAAAACTACAGATGTGAAGCTGAAGCACATTTCTGCAGACTTTTGTTATTGGTGGAAAATGGACGGGGGCGATGCTGAGGTCAGTGTTTCAGGTTCCTGAGTCAGAAGTTGTTTATGATTTTTCTGTTCAACACCAAGCACATGAGGTGCACATTCCACCTCATAAGCTCCTTGTTTCTTTTGCTGAGAGCAACCGCAGGTTCCCTTCAAAAATCCAATGTGTTAGTTTGGCTTTTATGAGAAACATAACATTCAATATACCGTAGAACTCAAGCTTCGCTAATTAAAATGTAACATTTTCTGGCGAAGTCGCAGCAGTGATAGGTAGAGTTGGATTTACTGCAATAATCACCTCAAAAATGAGGCTGCTGCTGGCTGTCACCCGACTTCTGTGGCCATGTGTAACATTAATGACTTGCAGACAAATTTCCCAAACTCTTTAAAAAACCTGATGGCATATTTCTTAGTTAGAAACAAACATGTATCATGAAACTAAACATTTCTTGAATCTTAACTTCAGGTAAATTTGCCATCATAAAGACACTAATCTTACCTTAATGTTTAAAAAACATGAAGGTACCAGTGTGCAGAGCTTCTTATAGTACCCAAAGGATTTGTCAAAGTCTTAATAACTTGACTGTTGGTGCTTTAGAGTGACCATATAATTCTGTTGCTTTTTTTCCCCCAGTTTCCAGGCATTACAGCTCATGTTATGATAAATTAAAATTATTAAAACAAGAAAAATGCAAAAAGCTAAAGGCAACAATTAAAAAAGAGCACTGTGACATCTTTGACCACACATGAAATAGAGAGTCAAAAGAGCAGCAAATGGCAGCAAATGATAGATTGAACTAATAAATCAAGACCTTGGAGATAACGTGTCCAATTTTTTTTAAGGTGAATGCATAGCTATCAACTTGTTGCTTGAGCTCTGGACTTAATTACTGGAATAGCTCCACTCAGCTTTCACCTCACTGGAGGTTTAATCAGGTTGCATTTCATCTTGTAAACAACAAAGTGGTACTATCTGTTTATGAAGCTCAAAATGTTTCAGTTTTTGGAATTGTCATAAATCTATCAATTATGTTTATTATTGTGTCATAGTTAAAGATGATGTTGTAATGGACTACATTATATTCAGAGGTGTCTCTATTTTTTTCCTCCCCATCTACATACATGAGTCAGATTATTAGGAACACCTCTGAATATAATGTGTTCCAGTACAATCCCAACTTTAACAATGACCTCAATAATAAACATAACTGAATTTCACAAAAAAACAGTTTGAACTTCATAAACACAGATGTTAAGGTGGAGGTATTGCACTGAAGTGCATACAATTGCACAGGTATACTTAATAAAGTTGCCAGTCCGTGTACATCACGTATAGTAGTCTATGTTAACACTGGACAATTCATTCTGCATTTAATGAATAGTCTATAACAAATCTGATGCTCTTGTCAACTTGTCCAAATAATGTTTGTTATATAGACATTTAACAAACAAGAGAACCTGAGGCAGGAAAGGAAAGTGTGGAGAAAGATGTCTGTGCAGGAAACTCTATGGAGACAAGTGTGTCACCAGCAGCTATCCATTGCACAATACAATTTCAAAGTAATTTGAGAAATTATATGCTTTGTGGCTTTATGACAAATATGATATTTACAAAATGTGATTTTTTTATTTGTGATTTGGTGATAGACAAACAGGCTGCTTCCACCCACCCATCCATTATCTATATTGCCTATTCCTGAACAGGGTTGTGGGGGTGGCTGGACCCAGCTGACATTGGTGGAGAGGTGGGGTACACCCTGGACAGGTCACCAGTCTATCACAATTTCTCAGTGTGTTTTGAGAACAGGCAATAAACATTAGAGTATACACATAAACATATTATTTGCATATGTGCATTCGAGCTATCAAACTGGTGTCTGTGGCGGACTGTATCCACACTTTATTACACAGTGGTCATATTACTACAGTCCTGGTTAACTATTCATCAGAGTGGTGGTTATAGTAATAGAGTCATGGTTAGAGTTCTAGTATTCTGTTCATTAGAGAGATGGCACAGAGGAAGAAACTGTCTTTGTGTCTAATTGTTTTGATGTGGAATGAGTTGTAGTGCCGTCCAGAGGGGAGGGGTTCAAATAATGTGTGTCCAGGATGTGAGGGGTCTGCAGAAATCTTTTCCACCCTTCTCTTGATCTGTGATGTGTACAGGTCTTCCATGGAAGGCAGAGGCTGGCAGCGATGATCTTTTCTGCAGTCCTGTTTGCTGGAGTTTCTTGCTGTCCTGTTTGTTTGCTGAGCCAAACAAGACAGTGATGGAAGAACAGAGAACAGACTTGATGATTCCCCTGTGAACTGAATCAGCAGCTCCTGGGGCAGGTTGAACTTCCTGAGCTGGCGTAGGAAGTTCATATTTGAATTCAGCACCTCAAAGTTTATAACTTTGAGCGCACTTAAATTGGGAAGCACAAGTTATTATTATTATTATTATTATGGAATTGTAGACCAGTATTATTAATAAAGTAGTCTGTAAAAATCTAATCCACACACCAATCCAAAAGGTGGCGACAATGAGCCTAACAGCTATTTGTCAAGTGCAAATAAACAACAAAAGAAGAAGATGAAGACGTTGACGTTGACGTTAACCGAGGCGTGTACGTGTTTTGAGTTTTTCAGCGCGTTTCCAACTCGCTGGAGGCTACTGATATTGAACTGCCAGTTTAATAATGGAAAATAATACGAATGTCAGTTTGATGATCATGTATGAGGACGAGTCTGTGGATGTTCGTTTCGTAAACGGATCCCAGTTACAGCTGTCGCCGTGTGGCTGTGAATTCATGCTGGTGAAAGCCAAAGAGCCCTCCGGACATCCTCTGCAGCTCCCTGAGAGAGTCCGACAGAGGACACGGTTCACCATCAGCGCATACAGGGTAGGTACAAACATGCCCATGCTTAGGCTGCTCAGCCCGGGGCTGTAGGCAGTTGTTTGCTGGGAATAATGTAGGCTACACAATTTGGTTGTCATTTGCATTAGAGCAACTCTACAAGCTCACCGCCACTGTCATTTTGCAGGAGTTGTTGGTGGCTGCATTGGCGTTTAGGAATAAATATGCTAGCCGACCGTATCTGCCACAGGAACTCATCCCTGCTGACCACAAAAAGGTACTAAAGCTATTTCCTACCACACAGTTAATACTGTACCTCCCATGTGTGAGCAGTGAAATCAGTATCTATCTATCTATATATATTTTACCTTTTCTCCTGCAGCCTTTCTTCAGCATTGACTCGGGTTTGCAGTGGCCAGAATGTTCTTCCTGTGAGGCTAAGTTCGGACCCGGAGGCGAGACCATCATCAGGTCGGAGGAGGGACAAGCTACGTTGGTACTGTCGCCCTCAGGTGAAGAATTCTCCGTTGAGTTCACATGCAGCCTCAGTCCGACTCAGAGTCAGCACCACACCATGCAGTGTTTCAGCAGAGAGCCTGACAGCAGCCTAGGCGGTCAACAGAAGGGAAGCAGTCAGACCACCAGTGAGTCTAAAACGGTCCATCAGGGAAGAGAAATCAGAAGGAATGAGCCCATTAGATCAAGGTCTTCTTCTCCTCTGACTATCAGCACTATTCAACCAAAGGTAACACTTCTTAAAGTAATCCTATGCTTGTATCTCAGGTTTTATGGAATCTTTGATTTCCCTTCTCTTCCTTCCCAGTCAGAGGAGATGAA